AAAGGCATTCATTGACAAAAAATGATTTAAACTGAGTAGGTTTCGTCATCTACCTGTTGTCTCTTCACCACCAGTGTCCTGGCTGGATCCTGTGAAATGCCTTAAATAAAACCTCCTCTCCAAAATCTTTGCCTTTTGTTATTTAGATCCATAATAAATGTTGTTAACCTTCTTTAATGAATCTTTCATTTTCATGTTGTGATTTCTCTGTTTCATCCTCTTCCCTTGTTCCCTGCTGCTGTGGAAAAAAACTACAACAGAGCTGTACAACTGTCCTAAGACTTGATTCTCTCAGCCCTCCTTCATACTCTGTTGTATTCACAAGTGGGTAGGAAGTTGACACTCAGAGAAACCATGCATGAATAGCGGCACTCTTATCTCCAAAGGAGCAGGATGGCAACAGAAGATATAAAACACACATAATGCCTTTTTGTTATTGTGGGCAGGAGGGAGAGAAAAGGCCTCATCAAAAAGTCTGTACAGGGGGAATACGAGGACAAAAGGCAAAACCACAGACATGTATCAAAGACACATGCAAAGGAAGAGGTCGACACGTTGAGTAAAGAGGTGCACAACAGTGGTGATTTCAGCTGTGCAAAGGTGAAGACTTCATGTGTATTAGGGAAGAAAGAAAGAATCAAGTCTTTTGAGTGAGTAAAATCAGATTTTTCTCAGCTGTGATTGAGCAAACTTTCAATGTATACAACATTTATGTCTATTGTGTAGCATAAATCAGAATTTGTGGAATGATGTGTACGCCTGTTGTTGACTTCTGGGCATAATGAGGCCTTTTCCCATGACGAATTGGTCTGTATAATGACAAGAAAAACAATTGATGCCAAAACAATGGCGCCTGAAGCCCAGAGGTCCCTTCGCTCATGTTGTTGTTGATCAGCAATCTTCCATCAGTATTCAGCCGCCACGCGTGCCAGTTTAAATAATGAGCCTGCTTCTCATAATCGACTAGTGTGGATTTATGGCTGACAGCGCTGGAAGGTGTACATGAAGTCGAAGATATAATATGACTCTCTGTTAAAATGAAAGTTGGCAAGCGCTATCGCTGAATCTACCAGAGGGCTGTTAAAGTTTAAACTGGATTACATTATCAGAGAGGGAATTTATTTCTATCCCACAGAGATCATTGCGTGTTTGACACTTACATTCTTACTTGACATTCCCAGGAATCAAACATATCTGATAAGTCAATTTAATGTATTCCTTTATGGGACCTCCGCCATGCGTATCCATGTAGAGATTTATTCTTCATAAGGTTTTAATCCCTAGTATCTAATTATAATGGTAAGAGCAGCAATAAATTAGACAAAAGAGCCAATAACTAACTAGAAATTGCCATTCACTATGCAGCTTTAAGTCTTCAAGTATAGGCCTTCCCTGAGGCGATATTATATTTTTTCATCATTTTGACTATAACAGAAGGGCATATTTTGGCTTATAAATGGTCACTGGATGCTGAGAACAAGATTGATTTTGTAATTCAACCCAAAGCTTTCTGCACTCCTACCAAATACACTTTGGGGATTGGAGATGCTGGTGATAATAGCTCTGGGTCTTTGCTCAGATTTATGGAGACCAACAACCCGAGAAGGCTGTGCTGCCGTAACCTTGAGGTTTCAGTTTAACGGTGTGTTTATTTAAGCTAGCAGATTTACTGGTCAGAAAACCAACAGTCGGACACTAAGAACTTGTCTGAAGAAAAGGATGAGAGGATTTAAGCAGTGTAGGAGTGCATGCTCTTACAGTGTGTGTTTGTATGTGTAGCGTACTGTGTTATGTGTTGAATGTGCACATTACTGTAGTGACTGTGTGCGTCCCTCCCTTTCAAATGTGTGCAATAGACCGTATTGCTCCTACAGTAAGGCAGATATGGTAAAGACTGGTTTCCACGTACTTATGCAGGGGGCAATGGGCGAGCGGCTCTGCTGGTAGCCTTTAGCACAGCGGTTGCACGTGATACCAGTCACGCCGTCTTTACAGGGACATTGTCCTGTGGTTTGGTTACAGGTTTTGCCAGCAGCACCCACGGGATGGCAATCGCATGCTGTGAGGAAACAGAGGAAGAAAGAGAGGCACAGTGAGTGGTCACACGCACACACACACGCACACACATGTGGGGAGATACAAACATATACTATCTTTAGAGAGTGCAGGTGGGTACACAGCAGCAGTGGTGGCAACAATAATAGAGTGGTGAGAGACAGGTGGAGGCGTGCAGAGACAGAAGACACCACGGCGCTGGTTATGAAGCGACTGTGGCATCGTGACAAAAAGACCAACACATCCTCTAGGTCTAAAGACATTTTGTGACATTTTGCGCATGTAACCATCACATCTCCCATAATTAAAAGCTGCCGAGATACAGTACATGCATGAGCTGAACTGTCGGTCTGTGTGTGCTCAGCATGTGGCTGTTTGGCATTGGTGTGTCTGTCAGTGTGTGAGCGCTCTGTGGGACAGGGGCTGTATGTGTGAGGTAAAAAGAGAGGGGTTGTGCATGTTTACCAAATGATAAAATAATGGAGGATAATCCTAATTGCCTGTTTCTGATTTCTGCTGGGCTTTGAACGCCAGCCCAAAACGTCTGTCACACTTCCTCCAGAAACTGGGGGGTCTATCGAACACATATGCCTCAGGAATGTAATCATTTTCCAATTGCTCTCCCCAATGCAAGCCCTTAATTTATTTCACAGCCAAACCCCTGTCAGGTTTGAAATCATTGTTGAATAATAGTTGTCTGAGAATTGTTTCTTTTCATCTATTTCTGGATATAAATAGTAGTGACTCTGTTACGGAGAGTAGGTTGAATTTATAGTCTTTCACACAGTCCGTACAGTAAATCCTGACTCTAATCCAGACCAGAACAAGTCTTGATAATCTACGACCAATTTCCACTTCTTTACTCAGAAAACGCTGTTTGTCACCAAACCCTCACCACTATATCCCTCACCCTGTAAGTGTTATACTTTCTGTTGATTTGCTGTGGAAAACCAGTGATTCTGACTTCCAGCCTCAGGGTCGGACTAGCTGTGCTCCTCCCTAAAGATTTTTTTCTGCATTGTGTCACTTGTCACTCTGAAAGCCTTCAAAGGCAAAGCTGAATTATGTACTTTGAGGTTTGTGGGGGTATTTAGTGGCTTGGCCTGTTTTGTTTTTAACCACACGGTCTGTTCTGCCCACAGTACAAAAATTATAGCTTCAAAACATCTGAACAATCTGTTCATTTCGACCCACTGCATTGGAATTAGTGTTTAATATGTATAAATGTCAAAGCAAATAACAGAAAAATAAATATAAAGCAAAATTATGAAGCTTATGCATACAATCAAAACCACAGGTTTATTAATTTATTAGTTTAAGTAATGTTATCTGACTGTAGGAACAGATAGTATTTGATTGTTCTGTTTCTGTCTAAAGTGACAGTTGTAATGTAATGTGTTCCTTATCTCTACTTGGACCTATAGCCTCGATACGGTTGTTATTTAGCTGGGCTGTATGAGGGACACACTCTCCGGGAGAGTGATTACAGCAGGCCTCAGGGAAAAGACTGCTGTAAAGTGGTAATGTAATACCGAATCTGTTCTCTTTATGATTGACCTCTTGGAAACAACATAGTTATTGTTTTGTGAGATATTTTGACTAAAGTGAAGGAAGCAAGATAACTCTATTCTATGGCTGAAGTCTATAAATTTGGGTTCCAGCAGGCCACCAGCTCTCTCTCTCTCTCTCTCGCTCTCTCTCTCTCTCTCTCTCTCACACACACACTCACTCTCTCTCGGCTTTTATCTCTATTGGCCTGTTTCCTGCTGATTCAGCTTCTGGTTGCCATACTCTTATCTGGTCCTCTGTTGTGCGCACGTGTTGGTGTTTTTATTGTTGGTTTGTGGTGTGTGGGTACGTTCTATCAGACTCAGAGAAGCCTCCTTAAAAGTGGTGTAACTATTTGTACCTTTATCAGACCAGTCTGTCACCGTTTTCATTGCTTAGTTGTGTCTGGCTCAGTGGGGAGCAACTGCGCACACACACACAAACACACACACACACACCACACACACACACACACACAACACACGACACACACCACACACACACAACACCAAGGAAGCCCAATAAAGAGCGTGGAGGCTGGTGCAGCACGTCTTTAGGCCCGTAAATTTAGGAGTATGTCAGAGGAGTTTGAAGCACGGGAGGGCAAAGTGTGTTTCTGGTTGGAGCTTCAGAGAGCTCCGTTTATATTTTTAAGAGCGTCTGCCTGGTAACCACAGCTCACAGCCTCAAACTTGCCAGTAAATCAAGGTGCACAGCACATGGTCTACAGGTGGGAAACACTCTAGCTTCTCTCTGCTCTGACTGACTGCCTGACCCGCTGTCCGGTTTGCATGACAAATTACCTGACTCCCTGGCTGGGTGACCCACCTGTTGGCTAAAGGACTGGCTTACTCTGGAGAGGTGCGAGTGAGAGTTTCTGGTTTAAGTGTGTGTCCACTTAACGGTTAAGTGGCTCAGCTTCATGGCTACTACAGATGGCTCGGGGAGATACGGGTCCAAGAGAGCAAGAGGCCCTTTTTTGTCTCAACACTTCCAGCGAGAAAAAAGATAAGAAGAGTAGGCGTGTGTATATAAGAGAACCCATGTCTTTCCCCCTAACAACATAGAACAGAGTTCTGTCGGAATTCCTAAAAGAAGCTCTTGGCGCCGGGAGTTGCGTATAAAAGAATGAAAAATGTTCTTGGTTAATGGGGAGAGTGGAAGGCCTTTTTTTTTCAAAGGCAGGCAGTCAGGCCCGAGTCTGAGATTGCACAATGTGAGAATTTTGAACTCTGCCAATCGTTTACCATAAAGCTGGTGTTTGAAGTCTGAACTCTGCTCCCCCCATTTAGTTTGTGTGTGCTGTGCCAATAAGAATAATTTGTTGGCCCTGGAGTGAAGCCAAGCTACCCGAGTCTGTGTTCTATTATAATTAGGTTTCTGCTCTTCCATAAGTATAAAAAAAGAGAAATAGATAGTGTTATTGGTTTGTTGCACTACACATAAACAGCTCTCTAAATTACGTGTTTATCTAATAGAGGGTGTGTCTCGCTCGTTGTGTTGTTTAGTGTTTTATTGGTCAGAATAATAGGCTGCAACGGCCCCAACAGTCATGCTTTTGGGCCACAGAGCGAGCCTAAAATGTTGGACATGAGCTTGTTTTGTGATTGTTTGATGCACAACATCGCACATGTGTGTTGTTCTAAATTGAAAACATGCAGATATCAGCACGCCTGATGGAAATCCAAAGCTCAATGTGAAGTCATGAAAAACAATATTTTCCAAAACCCAAGCAGAAAACATGTTATATGCGGTCAATAAAAAATAAAAAAAACACTGTGTCAATGGAAGACATATGCTGACGAGGGGGGTAGGGCTTTTTAGTATGTTATTCTGATGGAAATAGACCATCCCTCAATCAAAGGCTAATTACCCTCTGTATGCAAAATATGTTCCTCATCATCCCACCGACTGATGTAATTATATGATGGTTGATGTTCGGATTCGAATGTGAAGGCCTGAATTCAACCCCAACGCCAACCTGCTCAAGCTTGATTTTATTAAGTTAAGACGGTCCTCTGAGGAGGACTAATCAAGAGCAGTGCTCATTATTGGCAAAAGACCTCTTCTGTAGTTGTCACTGTCATTCAACATACAGCTGCTTCTCCACATCAGTATGGGTTCTTAACGAAATCACTAACTTTTAAGACGAAGTTAAGACAGGCTTTTAAAATCGGCACCAGGGTGACAAACAGGGATAACAGGCAGCTGAGTAAACTCAATGGAGAGTGACATTTGTTATCTCAGTAATATGTCAAAAGTGTTCAAACACCACCCAGAGTGCTGCATCACTTGGTCTTTTCAAATATCCCCTTTTTAAATTAAACTATCAAATATGCTCAACATGTTTTATTCAGAGGTTTCAAACAGTTAAAGATACAAACAAGAGCCGCTTGAAACGTACTCTGTGTTTACACTCTAACTCAATGAGGGGTGAAGTTATAAATTTCGGCGTGTAAATGTAGCCACCGGGCACAGCTCACTCTGCAGTGGATAAGCTGCTGTTCTCTTTCTCACTGGTAATGGCCTCCTATGGAAATGAACTGCTTTTGGGGAGGATTGTATTACACATATAAAAACAAACTCTTGTGCTCCTCGACCTGTGCTTGTTCTCCTCCAAAAGTCGCACAGCAAAAGGGCTCTCTCTCTCTCTTTGAGTTCAATAAATAACCAAACCTCTTAATTGCTGTCACTTTGGTGCAGCGCTTGTGCTGCTTGAGGAGTGGACAGAAATTAGTTCTGCGGTTTGAGTTTCATTGAATTATCTTGAGTTATGATGTGGTAAACCTGAGAGAATTTGGCAGGGTGAGACTTTGACAGCCCATATAGGTGTTTGACGTAGGAAAAAAGCTGTGTGTGGCAGTTGTAAGTATATTAACAGAGAGAGAAGGAGGCAATGTAATACAATGACACACATCTTTAAAGTCTTCATCTGTAGCTTTCCAAATATAGTTTGCAAAAATGTTTTAATTGGCAAAAGAAACAGTTCATGCTTCGTATCATTTGTCAGCTTGGGGTAATTACCACAGATCCTTTATTGTAAGTCTGTTTTGATGTAACTGAATACCTCAGTAGAAGTTGGACAGTGTTTGCTTATAATTTTACAGGGCCGGGAAAGGTGGGAGGTGTATAAACTCTGGCAAATTTCATGGATTAAATTGAACAAAACCGTTTGTGTAAGCTGACAATTTTATAAATGATGATGAAATGTGTTATATTTTAGTTTGGTGAGAGGCAGCAGAGAATGTCAAGGAGTCAGAAGAGAGTTTCTTATGTGGGTGACATGATTTACTATTTACTAGTTTGGGGACTCTGATGTAATAAGTATGATACGATTCTGGCATGATTATCTTATAACAATAATACTATAGATTATATTTAATTGTTGTAAAATTCCACTGAGGGTGCAAACCACACTGACGCTGTATTTTTGAGGTGTAAGTTAATGATAGTGTAATGACGTTGTGGCTGATGTTAGAATGACATTAGTAATGATGAAAATTCAGAGCTATTTTCAATATTATATTATCTGTCAATAATTTTTTTTCAATTCATTTATTTATATTTTAGTCTTGCAAAATGTCAGAAAATAGCAATTGCAATGCTCTCAGAACCCAAGGGGACGTTTTGTCAAAACACAAAGATATTCACAGGAAAAGCAGCAAATATTCACATTTGGGAAGCTGAGAGCAGATAATTTTTGTCATTTTACCTACACACAGAAGTGTAATTATGGTAAAATAAATGTTGTATGTGTTGATGTCACATTAGCAGCATGTTTCCCTCAGTGAGAGCACCAAGTAGAGTCAGAAAAGATGGGAAAAGCAGCCAGCTCAGAGACAGAATCCATGCACAGGGACAGAAGCACAGAAGAAGATGAAGGAGGCAGAGTTCCTGTCAGACACCAAATCAGTAGCATAGTTATCAAAAAGCTTTACACAGGCATAAAATACAGAGACAGCCCCAAAGATTAACTACGTACTATACATCAGTTTACTCCAGATGCCAGAGGTCCACACCAGGTGCATTTTCCACAGCTTTTGACTTTCATTGCATGACTCATTTATCCAAAGTTTCCTAACATTAAACTTGTCATCATCAGCGTATGCGAGCAGATTTCCACATCAGTGTAAACATTTTTATAGTTTTGATAAAAACATCTTGTCAAACTGAGGTTTTCGCTCATGTTTTTTTTTTTTTTTTGCTTTCATTTTGCTTCCAATGATGGGTTTGTTCTATTCTGGTGACCCAAATGTTGTCTGCTTGCTTCCAAGGTCTTTCATTTTAGTGGCTAGCAAACTCACCAGTGTAAGCAATAAAAAATAATGAAAAGCAGTCTGTAATCATCAAAAATATGTTGGATCAATCATTTGTTTACTGATTAAAGATAAAATGGTCTCCATCATCTAAAATGTGTACAGCATTAGAGAAAATTGCAGTATAATGATACATAATACAGTCAATTACTAATTCAAATATGATTGAATTATTTACCAGACATGAATGTAAAAATAGGATATAAATACTGTATTTTGGCACAGATCTTCCTAATTTGTAATAACTAGAATGTTTTTATGCTACATAATATTGTGTCTACTGCGTATTGTAAACTTAACTTTTGTCAGGAAGTGCAAACAAACTGACTAAACAATTCTTAATTCTGTAGTGAAACGCACAGCAGGACCTTGAGGCATCTAACCTTTTCTATTCTGAGAAACAAACCCCCATGAAAGTGAGTTATGGGATGCTGAAAGAATCAAGTCTTGGACACATGAGAAGAGATGTAAAAACAAGAAAAAAAAGAGGTTAAATTTCCACAATTAGCTCGCCTTGGTAGACACAGCGGAGGATAGGGGTTAATGATACACAACGTCCCCATCGTGATGAATGTGTGTTTGCATTCCTGCTTGACAGGAGAATGGGCCCAAAGCCACGCAAAGGTGTTAATGTCAGTTTAGTAATATCGCTCATGAGTGGCTCGAGGGGTGAAAAAATGGATGCATTTGTCAGAGAGCTTGTGTTATGAATGTATGTTCATGCAGAGAATGAGAAGTGCTTGATATGGCTGCTGGATGTCAGGAATTTAATGAGGCTTCTTTTGCATTGGTTTGATAAATGTCTTGTTATGGTGGAATAAAGCATGTCATCGGGGCACATGCACTTTCTGAAAAGGGAAAAGGTGAAAATTATTTACACATTAACTGAACTATCACCATTAGACCATTGAGGACAGATTTTATCAGTGGTATCAGCTGTCTATTAGACATACAGCGAAATAAAACACATCTTCACAAATCATTGTTTTGTCTGAACCTTGATTCTTTTGCAGCTATTTTACTCTTCAGACATGCCTTCTGTCAAACTGACTGACTTGTCAGTTTATTTATTTACTCCCTGGTGAATGATATGAGCGAACTCAGGCTTAAACTGTCAGCAGACAGCTAATATTTCCTCCTGGACCGCCTTGGGAAGTGAGACGCCCTGAGACTCTCAAACAGGTATACATGTTTTTCTGTGTATGTGTGCGCAAGCTGTATCTATACAGAGTGACTCTGAGGTGTCTCTGGGCTTGTTTGCACAGGGATTCAGGGCTCCTGTTATCTTTCCCTGCAGCTATAGAAGAGGTGAGAAAACATACCCTCACTCTTTCAGTCGCCCCCCCTCCCCCTCCTCTTCCTCCTCCTCCTCCTCCTCCTCCTCCTCTCTTTCTTTGACCCTTATTAGCTACGGTGAGGGCTGGTGGCAGGCGATTCATCCAGCACTTAATAGTGAGCACACCTGCGTGGGGGTGTGTTCCTCTTATCCTCCTCTCCTTCCTCTTCTTCTTACCCTCCCACCCTGCCTCCCTCCCATCTTTCACTCTCTTGCCAGCCCTCTGAACCTGAGTTTTTGTTTCCTCCTTTCCTTTTCTCCCTGTCCTGCAGCCCTTCCACCGATCTTCCTGCATTCTCATTTGTCTTTGACCTACACCGGAGATCACTTCACACCTCAACTCTGTTTGTTTTGCTTGTCCTGTCATCCCCTCACCCCGCTCCCCTCGAACGAAGCAAAATAACTCAACTGTCGATGAGGGAACACCCAGCCCGACCCGCCCATACCAACACGACCTCAAAAATCCCAACAGACCCCCAACTCATCTCCGCTGACAGAGGAAGATGAGGGCGAGGCAAGCTCAGGAATCAAAAGACTGCTGGCTTCCCCCACTTCCTGTAACTCATCTAAAACTATTTCCTATCAGACCCATATAACCTTGCTAGTATCGAGCATGTAAATGCATTTTTTCCTCTCTTGCTATCTTGATAAGCAATTGAAATTTTAGAGAATTCCGATCACGTGGTCTTAAAGTTTTCTCTCAAAAGCCAAATGGATAGAGACGTGTGTGGTGGCCAGAAAAAAAAAAAAACAGAACAAGAGCACTGTACCTTTGCAGGCTTTCCTGTGTGAGATAGGTTTGGACAGGTCTCTGTAGTAGCCCTCCTTGCAGTAGTGGCAGTGGCGTCCAGCCGTGTTATGGCGACAGTTGAGGCAGACTCCTCCACTCTTCCTCCCTGATAGCTTGTACAGCTCCATGTTGAAACGACACCTTCGGGCGTGAAGGTTGCAGTTACAGGCTGTGGAGGAAATAAGACAAGGATGCAAAAAGGTTGAACTAGCGTGAAACAAATAGGTTATAGTCGAATTTGTGCCGGTTATTAACAATAAAGTAATTTAAATGACCATGTTTTCTGCATTACATTGTATTGTGTCCTAGACTTGGCAGCTTACAGGTGCTCATGTTAAGTCTTTTTGAGAGCTCTCTGGATGTCCTTTCAGGGGTTTTGATGTTTAATATTGTCTTGTTTCTCAAAGTAAATTTTCTTTACCATTGAATTGAATTGACATAAATGAAAAAGGTACGATGATATTATGCAAGACTTATGACCTCAGCAGTGGATCATAAATCAATTATTCACTCTCATAAACCTTTTTTAAGTTAAGTTATTTGCCAGTCATGGTGTGGTTAAATTCACGCGAGAGTTATCTAATAACTTATATAATAAGCATAACTACTTTTTCTATGGTTACCTCATGTTTTATTAATTACTTATACTAATGGACATCCATTTCCAGGATCTTTTGCTTGTGTTTTCAAGAGTTAAGTTGAGTTTAAACTCCTCTGATAATGAGGTCAGTGCATCCTTTTCCTACCTATCCCTGGTTGTCTTTTTCTTTCTTTCACTAAAATACTCCGCTCCTTTTTCTTTTTTTGAGCTCTTTTCCTCAAGGTCCTCACCTGCTCTCCAGAGACCAAACTGTACTAAACAGAAAGTGAAAGCCTGGTCTTAACCTTCCTCCATTCCCTGCAAATCCCTGCGAGCGTGTGCGAGACCCATCGCTGCCGCTTGTTTACTGATGAGTACAGTTGCCAGCGCTGAGTTTAATTAGCCGGCTGATGTTTATTCATGACTTTCTGGCAGCAGAGTGAGGCAGACATGCCCAACTTCATTAAGGCCGGCCGTCCGAGACACCGGTCTTCCACCACCACCAGCGCAGACACATTCATGCATTATTAACAGCAACACTTCTGATACAGTTTGTGGCTCCACTGTGAGTGGGTGCATACTGTACTGCATGTATGTGTGTGTGAGTGTATGTGCGGAAATGGGGGTTATCTGGGTCCAACTGGGGTCCCTTGGTTGGTTCATCTGTCCATGTTTTTCTGCACCAACTCTTCACACAGCTCTTTTCATCATCTGCCTGTCATAATGGCGGAAGACGGAGGACAGCTCTCACTTCCCTCAACCTGGCTTCTTACTGGTTTGTGTGTGTTTGTTGGTTTAGAGTGTGAGTTTTGTGGTGTGTTTTTCCTGGATGTGTGTGTCTGTTTGGGACCCCCGAGACTACTTCTCTCCACTCCAAGGACCTAATTACAATATCTTTTCTAAAATACACATACAGTACACACACACCCACACACACACATTAGCAGCTCTGTGCCTTATCAGTAGTGACTTGGCTTTCTGTCTTTCCTGCAGGACGGCAGGGGTTTAATTAGTGATAGATCTCTGCTGGTTCTCCCTCCCTGCTTCAGAATGTGCTTCACTATGACTGCAATGCAAAAAACAAAACTTTTAATACCACAAGACAATGACTGATTTCCAGTATTTTTTTTCCCCGGGAAAATAAGACACGTTTCACCTTGAGTAAATTCGGGTTAAAACGATCATCTTTACTCCTGTGTGTCCCGTGGACTCACCTGACTGGATTTAGACCTATCCTTTTCTTAAAGTGACACAGATCTGATGTTTTCATTGTTGTCTTAAGCTAGATTTACACCTGTGCATGACTCATGTTGTTAGCCTTTCAGACAGCAGAGCAGATTCTTTGCTTTCTGGTTCCACTGGAAAACCCCTAAAGCCCACCGATAGACACAACCCAACAGTGTGTGCCTCTTTCATTCATTTTGTTACATTTATTTTAGCCACAGAGATCAATTGCAATTATCATAAAGCTCTGAAATTATCTATCTGTGTCACTGTGTTAAAAGAAAAAGGCCATCAGAGCTGGCTGTCAATGCAGCCAAAGGGCAGGTTCAGTCTCTCTTGTGATTCCAGCTCTGGGTCACAGTTGGTGAAAGCTATCTGAACCCGCCTGCAGGTGACATGGATCACTGTAGAGAGGAGTACAGCCGGCCTCAGACCTGCAGACACGTCTCTGTTACACAACAAAGATGTTTCACACCCTTCCTCAATGAAGACAGGGGAATTCTAGTCTGCCGGACAACACCGCCCCAGTGAGAAAAATGTTGCTGTCCTGGGAGGCATGTTGGATATTGAAGAACTGACATTGTACAGGCTGCATGTGAAGGTGTGGGGCAGGAGGCCACATTGTGTTTGACGGTATCATGCTTCATAAGGTATTATGTCAGATAATGGGGACGAGTGAGAAGCACTTTATCTAAACTCGCTGACACTGGGCATGATGTAAGCTAGCTCGCACAATATCCCTTACACTGTCTACATTGAAAAAAAAACTTAGGAGACATTGTTATTGCTGGCCCAAATCCAAGTGTTTCATGAGCGCAGACTGTTTTAAAAATTACATCATCACAGCCTTGTCCAAATTAAAATGCATTTAATACAAAACAATTGAAGATTTGGAAGCCAATATGCAGTCTGTCTGGCGTGAGCTCATCAGATTTCCTGCGGCGTCATTCAGTGTTATCCATTCATGTGGAGTTACCTGTTTCCTTTCATCATTCCCTATTAAGCAAATAATCAACTTGTGATAACATTATGCTGTCAGTCAGACTCTCTGCTCTCAACATGTTGTTTCAATAATTGCTATTTATTCATTTTGATGTATATTTGCACAACAGTGATGTGGTATGTATGTCTAAAGACAAGCTCTCATCTCACTTTTGCCACATTAACTCATTCCATTTTGATCACTCTGAGACTATTCTCATGTGTGTTATGATATAAATTGTTGAATTTCAGAATGGTAGACAGTTCACACAAGACCCGGTTGGGTTTGCCACACATTAACCACATATATGTGTTTTTTATGTATGAATGTCAATTTGTATCCAATTTTTAATTTGTTGTGTTGTGGAAATGCCTTTGTCAACCCAACAGAACAAGGGTAGTTTGATACATACATACTGGCAGGAAGTCTTTGGCTAAAACACAGATTAGTATACTTTTAGCTTCCCTAGTTTAAGCACACAACATTCCTCACGCTTGCTCTTTATAACTAGCAGGATTCAAGGTTTCTGCCCTTCAGCCGAGACACAAAAACTGAGCTGTAGTTTATTTCAGCCAAGCAATCAGCTCACACACCTTCACCGCAAACAAAAGCTGCTGCTGCCATTCACAGTAAAACTCACACACACACACACACACACACACACACATGCCGAGCGCATCAGGTACACTTTAAAGACAAGTTTGCTCATAGCTTTCTGTGAATCAACATTTCAGCTATGTGTTAATATGAGAACAATAAATGGTGTCCTATAAGAATTAAAATAACAGTAAATATCAGAAAGACACTCAGCCTAATAAAACATAATGTTTAATGTTGTGTAAGACCTATTAGTTGGAGTAGCTAGTAAATTATAATCTGCTGAAATTTTATTTTCATAATTTACATTAAGAAAGACTACATTTCCTTCCACCTTAAAATGTTTGGCCTGTTTTCAATCAAGTTAACTGCTTCAGGCTGGATTAGTGCTACAGTGGTCGGCTGTAACTGCCCCCAGGTGAGCAGTAAAAAGAAGTGTGAACCGATACCTTTAAAACAAGACTAATTGAATTAACTGGATAAAGCTAAGCTTACCCAAAGCTTTTCAACGCCTTCTGTAATGTGGACCACAACTATGTAAAATGACAAAAAAAAAAATAAGAAGAAATGCTGCTCTTGAGTCTTGCAGCTGTTTTAACAAAAACTGCAGCATTTAACAGGAAACAGTTGTTTATCGGGCGTTGCTGTTTCCCGCACATCCCAGGAAACACGCTGGCCTCGGCGCAGTGTGTGAGTGTGTTTAGGAAAGTTGGCTAATTAGTTTCTTTGAGTGGTTCCCAGCCTCTATCAACTGACCTCAGTCTTGTAGGCAGCACAGGGGCAGCCTTCCCTCTGCTAATTAGAAGGAAAATTCAAGCAACAGAGCTGGAGGCTGAGGTTAAGCTCATCACACTTACGATAAGCCTGGTAATTGAGGGATGTCGGTCGAAACCTTGATTTGCTCTAAGAGACACTCAAGCAACTGATCTCTGCCCCTAAATCTGCACATGCTGGATTGTGCTTGTTGTTGTGGCTGCACACTTCTCTGAAAATTGAGACACAAATGAATAAAACAGAGCTCATTTATATCTATATTCGAAATATAAGTGTCCACATTGAGACACTACTTTCTTCTCTGTCAATCAAAAAGAAATGTCCAGTCTTTTTGTGAGGTCTGAGGCGGTTACAGGCCACCTCCATCCCTCCACCCAAAACATGTCAGAAAAAGCAACCAAAACCCAACACCACCGCCTGCAAGCAGGGGACCGGCAGGAGCTCTGCTATTCTGTCTCCCGCTTTTAAACAAACACCAAGGGGAGTCTACACATGAACTTTGAATCCTATGGGCGCTCCCAAAAATAATCATATTAACTTCTAAAACCCCCTCAAGAGAAGATGAAATTGAAAATGAAATATTGTGTGTCCTCTGCCTTTGCCATGTTTGAGGGTGGGAAAGGTTTAAGAGAAAGTTTAAGTACTATATATTCAATATGACTTATTTTTGCAAATGTTTTTATGAACTGTGCCCCAAAATATCTGGAACAACTCGATACCCTCCTATACTGTATAGTGCATTAAATTAAATCATGGCAGTCTATAAGGCATTCCCTCTTTCTATCCCCCTCAAACACACACACACACACACACACACACACACACATGCCTCTCTCTCTCTCTCTCTCTGGGGGTCGATGGGGAAACATAACACACATGAATGTTGGGAGGTTTGCTGCTTGAACGGCAAACTCAGGATTAGATGGCGTGTAAACACAAAGCCCCAAATGGATCCATTTCGACATCAGTGTGTTAGCAACTGATGCGTAAGTGTGTGATCATGTGACCACAG